CCTCCCGTGTTACTTTCCCCTCAGAGGGCCCGCTCCCGCCCTCCGTCGCCCTACCTCAGTGTCAGAGGGCGCGTAATGCCGGCAGGGAGGGGAACTGCCCAAGGAGACAGGAATAGATGTGGCGCTCGCCCGGAGCCCGCCCAACAGGAGCAAAACGCCGCGGACCCACGAAGAACCGCTCCAGCGCCACCGGCGCCGGCCCGGGCCTGAACCCGGGTAACCCGCGCCGCCGCCCCACTCGGCCGCCATCTTCGGGCCGAGCGTCGTTACCATGGAGCGCGTGACGCCGCCGCGCCCGGCGCCGGCGCCGCCCCCTCGCCGCTCGGGGCAGGTGGAGAGACCGGCCGGCGGAAGGACGCCCCTGGATTGGACGGCGTCACCCGCAAGAAGTTCGCCGCGGAAGACGAGGGCAGCGATTACGTCCAGAGCGTCTGGCAGCGCGAGGCCGGCCAATAAGTGCCGTCTGGCTGCCCACGTGGGTCGGACGGTGGGAGGAAGAAAGGCCAGCGGGCGTAGACGGTGCACTGATGGTGTACGTGGGTATCTCAGACACGCTTTCGGTCCTTTACTAGAGCGACGTGCATCGACTGGGGGTCGGGTGCTCTGGTGGACATGCAGACATGTGCAAAGTATTTTATAATGTAATCCTCTATGAAAGGTGAGTGGAATTTTCATTCACTTTTTAGTCACCAACTTCAGGCCCCATGTGTTACTACCTAAGGCCGGTTAACGATGTGTCCTTTACTATTTTACTCAACTCCATTGGCTTCTGTCTGACCAAGAATTTCCACTGCACCTGAGGAAACCGGGTGGATCCTAGCCATTAAGGAACTACCATCGAAATTGAGTCGTGAGGAACTATAAAAAATCAAAAATCGGGACGCATCCCCCTGTGGCTCATGAAAAAAAGAATGTAAAGAGCAGGAGACACTGAAATGGAAGTCATTCAATGGTCATTGTACATTTTCAGTTACTACACTAGGAAACGTAGGGGTAGGAAAAAAATTCTCAAGAATTTACAACCGATTGGTGGCGATTGTATATTCAAACATGAATGGGCAGTGCTTTACGTATTACCATTTTAGAGTAGACTCGCTAGGTAAAATGCCAACCCCACTAGAAGCTGGGATTAGAAACCAAATTTCGAACTCTGCTCTTTCTACTACAAGTCCACAGAGAAACTGACTGTGGAGAAAGAATGGAACCAGTTGTCTCGAGTTCTGAGCTGTAACAGTAGCGTTACTGGGGGAGAGGATTCAGCTGCATAGTGGACAAGCTGCCAGTCATGCAAGCCATTTACTGTAAATCATGGGGATCCTCCTATAGCAATTTTACCTTTCACGGAACTTCAGTATGGGAGTAGAAAATCCTAACATACTCTTCTCGTTTACAAGGGCTGCCATCATCTTTGTTAAGAGCATGTGTTTGCGTTTAAGGTTCGTTTGCCATTGTATACGTAAACTACTCAGTTTTCCCTAGTCTCAACCTTTTCCCAGCTTTGTTCAAATGCCTAACACTGTTCGTGCACGCTTATTTGCTCTACCACCTATCCCATTCAGAATACCAGTCACCTAACTCCCACAAGGTGACAGTCTATGAGACTGTTTTCCTCTATATATGAGTGAACCAGATACGAAATATCCACTTGGCTTCCTGAACATGTCCACAGTTTAACATCTTCATCAACTTTTGGTCTCACAAAACCATCACCCTGGTTCCCCAGGATGTAAATGCACTCATCCAGCCACCAAAGCCAGAACATGCTATCCTTGAAAACCCCACTCCACAATTGCTCTTAAAATTCTACCATTAATGTTGATGGAATCTATTTCAGGGCTTAGAAATCTCAATTTGGGCCTGGAAAACCTACCTGATTTTCCCTTGTGTATGCTGGGCTACCACTGGCATCTACCTAGTCACTCCCATGAAATCAAGCTTTTGAGTCAGAAGCTGGAGCGCAGTGGCATGCTTGCAGCCACCACAGCCTCCCCTAGCCCTGCTGAGCTCAGGTGGTCCTTTCGCCTCTGCCTCCCAAGTAGCTGGAACCACAGGCATGCACCACCAGACCCAGCTGTTTTTAAAAAATTTATAGTAGAGACAAGGTCTCAACATGTTGCTCAGGTGAACCCCAACTTCAGGCAGACCTCTCACCTCTGCCTTCCAAAGTGCCAGGATTATAGACATGAGGCACTGCACCCAGCTTGAATCAAGTTTTCAAATTTAGACTAGAAAATATAATTTAAAAAGTAAATTAGAGATAGAGATTCGGGCCAAAACAGGAAAACATGGCCTGGCCATAGCTCAAGAGCACATGGCCACACGAGCTTAGCAAGCCAAAGGCTAAATCAAGCTTTTTTTTTTTTTGAAAGCAGGATTTATTAAGAGGACAGAAAAGCTCCCCAAGTGGGAGGAGACTTGAGGGGGTTGCTCAAATCAAGCTTTTCAATGACCCTCTACACAGGTGTCCCCAACCTGAATGAAGACCATACTGTTAGGAACCTGGTACACAGATGAGCAGGAGGCCAGCAGAGCTCCACCTCCAGAGCATTAGGTTCTCCTGAGTACAAACACTATTATGAACTGCACATGCTAATTATCTAGGTTGCACGCTCATGAGACTCTAATGCCTAATGATCCATCCACACCACACTCCCATCCCTCCCACCCCTGACTGCAGAAAACACTGTCTTCCATGAAACTGCTCCCTGATGACAAAAAGGTTGGGGACCATTACGCCTAAAATATTCAGTACAGTACAAGATATCTCATAATGTGGCATTTCTTAGTTTTCTTGACTTCCCAATCAACCTAGTTAAAATTGCTTGATTTCATTCTTTGCTCGTTCACATCTTCATGCCATTCTCCCCAAATTAATTCTTCCTCTCTAATTTTATATTTAACAGACTATGTGCATGTTTCTATTTAACAGACTATGTGCATGTTTCTATCCCCAACTACCCTAAGGGGAGTTAAAATCTATTTAACCGGCACAATGAACATAGTAGGCACTTTTAGTTCATATTGGCTTTTTGGAGAGGCAGGAATCACACAGGCAAAGATCAACACTTCTGACAGCCAATTTTTAACTTGTGATGGCCATGAAATGCACTGCTCACATCTGAAGAAAGCATAATCCACCAATGGCCCCAAGCAGCTGTTCCTTCCAATGTGCTTTGCCTTGAAGCCACACTCCCCAGTGAACGCACCTGGCAGTACACCTGCAAGCCCCCAAATATGGGACTCCCACAATGGCATCTTTTGCTTGAGTACAGACTGACCAAGCCTTTCTTTGAACTGTCAATGTGCTCTTCCTACCCAATCCCTTCACCTTCTCCTAGTCTTTTCCTCAATATTTCCAGAATGCTTTTTTTCGGTGTTTGGCAAAAGAACCCAACTACATTTCAAAACTGTCAGCATTTAGTTTGCCAAACTGTTTCCTGTTGGCATTTTCAGAATTTTTAAAATATGGTTTAAAAAAACTAGCTGCTATTCCATCAATTAGAAACACCCGCACTGAGAAACTGATATAAGCTCAAAATTTTATTTTAGCACATCAAGATATTTAAAATCTCCTGGAGCCTTATTTATAACATGGTAAAATACACCACCTTGTACTTTATTACATTAAATCATGAAGGCAAGAAAAGCTGCTACCTGAGCATGCACTCTTCTCCCTCATATACCACAGGACTTCTTCTGAGGTAGAATAACATGGCTTAACTTTGATATTCTCAGCATACATACTGCTTCCAGTCAAGTGTAAGATACTGGGATGTCTGTCCAGTCATAAATCCCAAGGATGTTTCATCCCAGCCTATTTGAATGAGCTGCCAAAGTCCATCAATATAATCTCCAAATTCCTCCCAATTCCCACTTTTACTTCTAAGTATCCCAACCAATCTATATTGAACAAGTGCACAGTATTACAAGGTATTTTAAAAGGTAACTTTAAACTTCTTTCACTTACTCTCAATCTAATGAAGAAGGCAGTCACCTTTTCACTTTCCCCAAAGCTTCTCCCCCATTAAGGCTTTGCATTAAGAGACGTTAAAACCTGTTATCTTCAAAATCTCTATAATCACCCTGGAACTGCTTTTACAACATATACAGGTCTCTGAATTCCCTGTATTTTGAAAATGATGGATAACCTCCACCACTTTAATAGCAACTCAAGGGCAATAAGGTTTTTAAAGCCACTTAACAAAAATACAAGAACACACATCCACTTTTATTTATTTACTTTCCATTAGTTTAAATTCTTGAGGGGTACAGCATCTGGAGGGAAAAAAGAACATACAAAACAATAAGAGTGTGTTACATACAAGTTTTCAAATGTTACTGAGGCACCTCATGGAAAAATCTCCCATATCTCATTACTCAGCTCTGAATTACAGATCATAGTGGCCAAGAAACCAAGTTTGTATAGCCTTCAGTTTGAGTTGGAGTCTCACTCTGTCGCCCAGGCTGGAGTGGAGTAGCACACAGCCACCCCAGCATCAACCTGCTGAGCTCTGGCGATCCATCTGCCTCAGGCTTCCAAGTAGCCCAAACTACAGGCGCATGCTACCACTCTCGGTTGATTTTTTATTCATTGTAGAGATGAGGTCTCACCAAGTTGCCCGGACTGATCTCAAACCCACGGGCTCAGACAATCCACTTGGCTCCTCCCAAAGTGCTGGGATTACAGGCTGAGCCACCAAGGCCAGCCAGCCTTCAGTTTCAAAGTGACTATACCTTAAAAACCAGCACTCTCAAGAAATAAGTACTGAAAGGAAAATTTCATTTTGCTTCTTCTGACAGTAAAAGCCTCCTCGGATAACAAGTACTACGGAATCACTCAGCAGGGTTCAACAGTACCCCATGGCCCCCAAAACATGATCTATAAAAAATGGACCCTATCTAAAGAAAAACTAAGAGATGCTTGAGAACAGCACAGGGAGGCCGAGTGCGTTGGCTCATGGCCTATAATCCCAACACTCTGGGAGGCCGAGGTGAGAGGATTGCCTGAGCTCAGGGGTTCGAGACCAGCCTGGACAACTTGGCGAGACCTCATTTCTACAATAAATTAAAAAATTAGCATATGGCAGCATATGCCTGTAGTTCCAGTTACTTGGAAGGCGAAAGGATCGCCTAAGCCCAGCAGATCAAGCTGTGGTGGCCGTGAGTGTGCCACTGCACTCGAGTGAGACTCCAACTCAAAGAAAAAGAAAAAAAAGGAATAGCACAGAATATGGAGTCTTGTGCCAAAACCTGAGACCCAGGAACATAAGCACAAGTATCTACTTTCTTCATGTGCAAAACAAAGCTAGTAAAACCTATTCTAACAAGACTGACATAATGGAATCAAGAAAGTATTAAGAATTATGGCGAGAAAAGGTGTTTTTACTTTCTAGCAATTAATTCAGTGCCTAACAAATCTTTGCTAAATACCTGTCCATCCATATACTATTTCTTCCCCAGGCAGTTTTAATACAATCTGAAATTTAGGCACAGTCCATTTGAACATTTTGCTTCATCTTCCTTTAGTATGGCAAGAATTAGTGTTCACAGTTTATACAGTAGTTGCTAATTTTGCCGCAAAATTTACTGGTGTCAATTTCACAATCACAAAAGTCTTCCTAGAAGTCAAAGCCCAAACTCTTAAGCGTCATTTGACTTGACAATCATTTTGCTTAACTGTACTTACTACACGGATTCTGTGTCCAATGGCCTTAGCAGGAAGGTTGCTTCGGAATTTGGCACGAACCATGCCACTGTTTCCATGGGCCCGAGTTACCTTTCCCCAGATTACTCTGGTTTTGTTTGGTTTGCCGCCAGGAGTCACTGTGTTACTGATTTTAAAGAGGAACAGAAGACAAGTAAGAAATGAGACAATCAATATAGCCTGAAACAGATTCAAGGTGACCTCTAGACCAGTGGCTGTCAAATCCGTTTTCCCATTTACACGAGAAAGCTAAAAAAAGGTCTGCAATACCATTTATTCTACAGATATGTATCCATATATAAGACACTTTTGTAAAATGTAATCCTTTACAAAAAAGAGGCTGGGCATGGTAGCTCAGCCTGTATTCCCAGCACTTTGAGAGGATGAGGTGAGTGGATTGCCTGAGCCTGCAAGTTTGAGACCAGCCCCGGCAACTTGGCAAGACCCCAACTCTACAATAAATAAGAAATTCGCCAGGTGTGGTAGCGAGCACCTGTAGTTCTGGCTACTTGAAAGATTGAAGCGGAAGGATCGCTGCAGCCCAGCAGGCCGACACTGGTGTGGCCATGAACACACCAGCATGAGCAGCAGTAAGACCCCAACTCAGAAAAAAAAAAAAAACCTTTTCCACAGGATAACCAAATAGTAAGTAGTAGAAAGTCAGATGGTAATACCTGCAATATTGAAAAAATTAGCAAAGGAGGTCTAGTGTGAGAACGTTTGTGTGTAGGGAGGAATTGGGTAGTTCACTGAAGTGACGATGGAATAAAGACTATAACGGGAGAAAAACTCATTAAGTTATCAGAGTATGACGAGTGCAGGCAGAGCAAATAGTATGTCCTGGCTATGGGCTGAGTCCTGGCTTGGGGAAAGACCGTGAAACCAAATTGGAATCCTCAATGCTTAGGGTCTTACAGGTCTCTTAATGACCCTGGCTTTTATTGAATGAGTCAAAAACTGGGGTTTGAGCAACATACATATGATCTGACTTATAATTTTAAAGAATACTCTGCAGTGAAAAAGAAGGGCAATGATGAGAACACTTCCCCAGAGATGTCTAGAGACATCGACGTCTTTAAGCATGCTTTAAAATATATAATTTTAAGGAATTAACAAAATACATTAAGTTAAGTGGAAAGTGCTCTAAAAAAACCTTAAAAGTATCATAATGTAAGGAATTAGGTTGGTTTATGTGGCTAACACCTATAATCCCAGCAATTTGGGAGACAAAGGCAGGAGTATAGCTTGAGGCCAGGAGTATCACTTAAGGTAACATAAAATGCACAAGACTATAGTCCCAGCTACTTGGGAGGCTGAGGCAGCAGGATCATTTAAGCTTGGGGTGAGGTTACAAATGATAGCTTTTTCCTTATTGTTTTCGAAGTACTGAAGACACCTAAATCCAATACCACCCACAAGTTGCAGCCTGTTACAACCCTTAAAGTTTCTTAAAAATCTCAAGATAGAAGCCACATCAATACCAATTACTTTAGCACCATGTTATGCTTATTCAATGGAATGACACACATCAAGTAAAAACGATACTAGTAACATCATAAACTTACTTCTTTGCTTTATATACATAAGCACATCTCTTGCCCAAATAGAATTCAGTTTCATCTCGGGCATAAACACCTTCAATTTTGAGAAGAGCTGTGTGCTCCCTTTGGTTCCGGAGACCTCGCTTATAGCCAGCAAAAATGGCTTTGGACCACAGCCTAAGACACACAAAACACGTAATATTAAACTTAAGCTTCATAAACCACCGGTATAACTTGACTTGCAACCCCCACACAAAAACTACAGTAAACACAATTTTTTGCTCTCACGTTCACGCCAAATAGAAAAAACCCAAAGCAACTATATTGAAAACGCGTACCTTCCAGACATATTTGCCTCTTAGAAGTCCTGTTCCCAGCAGGCCTTAAAACAAAAAAACCCGTTTAAAAGCATGCAATGCCATTTTCCCACCTTGTTCCCCCTCGTTTCTTTAGCCTATTAAGCAAATTCCCTTTTTGACCAGCCCTTCACGTAATAGTATGGAGTAACGTAACCATGACTCTGGTAAGACATTTACACTTCAGAGAACGGCTAATAACTAAGCAACATCAGGATGAAAACAAAACGCAGCGGCAAAACTATACTGTAAAAGAACGCCTAGAAAACCCAATAGGAAATCCCGAGAAAACTCATGTCACTATCGGTATAGAAAACTCAGGGGAAAAAACGAAAACGTATCAAGCAGGGAAAAAAAGCATACAGAAAACAAGACTTCTACGCATTGGCTTAAAGAGAAAAGCTGAAGAAAGGGAGACCGTAGACAAGCGAACCAAAGCTTAGGATGGGAAAAGACGGAAAAAAGCCAGCCTGAAAGTTCTACTCCCTCCCTCTCGGGCAACTACAGACACAAAGCGCATCCGTTTCACTCCGCTCAAGACCAGGGGTTAACTCCGATTACCGGAGCAGTAGTTCTCCGGGAGCCAGGGGACCAGCAGCATCAGTTCCGTATCTCCTCCATCCGGCCCTCCCTCTTCTTGGAACCCACAGAAATCACTAGCTGGAAGGAACCCCAAGACGCACCGGTGCTTCGCCAGAGCATATGGATAAACACATCCCAGTTATTTGCCCCCAAAGTTGAGCAGCAGGCACCTCACTCACCTACCCGGGCTCCAAGATGGCGGAAAGAGGAAAAACGAGACCCCGCCGCGCGGCCTTGTGGGATACACTCTCTACCCTGCCCCTAATTTAGGCACCTTCCGCGACCGCCAGAGAAACAACCCTTAGAAATCGTCTTCGGGAATTCTGAATTCTAGGATTCTGGAATAAGCCACATTCAAGAGCATTCTAACAATTATTTTCTTAAGTCTCATTGTTTTTGTAAGCTGAAACATGTATTACGTGGGAACAAAGGAAGGCAAAATGGTAGCCTACTAAAAACGAAGAGGAAACGGTCCTCCAAAGCTGTGCGTTGCCATAGAAACGTCTTAGCGTGCTTCCTGCGTCCAGAGGTGCTGCGAGTAGAAAGGTAAAGCCCAAGTAGGGAACGTCCGCTGACCCCCGCGTCAAGATTAATTCTGAGGTTGATTCGCGAATATGGAGGCGTCTTTACCTCATACAACACGGGAATAGGAAGGACGGAGACTCTCCGATCCTAACCTAGACTGGAAGAGAAAGGCCGGGAGCCCCAAAGCAGGAGGAGCTCTTCTTTCTCTTTAAATGTATTTGTTTCCTTCTTTCCTCCTCTCTACTTCTTTATCTCTTAAAAAAAAAAAAAGAAAAAAAAGGCCGGGTTTGGTGGCTCAACCTGTAATCCCGCGCTTTGGGAGGCTGAGGTGAGTGGATTGCCTGAGCCCGCGGGTTCGAGACCCGCCTGGGCAACTTAGCGAGACCTCGTCTCTACAATAAATCAAAAAATTAGCCGGGCGTGGGAGCGCGCTTGTAGTTCCAACTACTCGGAAGGCCGAGGCGGAAGGATCGCCGGAGCCCAGCAGGTCGAGGCTGCGGTGGCCGAGAGCGTGCCACTGCTCTCCAGCCTGGACAACAGAGTGAGACTCCAACTCAAAAAAAAAAAAAAATGACCTACTTCTTCCCTTTGTTCTTCCTTTTGACTTCAAGGGTATGGAAGGCCAAGAGGAGGTTTAATCACCTTTTTTTTTTTTTTTTAATTTTTTTTGAGCCGGACTCGGTGGCTCAACCTGTAATCCCGCGCCTTTGGGAGGCTGAGGTGAGTGGATTGCCTGAACTCGCGGGTTCGAGACCCGCCTGGGCAGCGAGACCTCATCTCTACAATAAATCAAAAAATCAGCCAGGCGTGGTAGCGCATGCCTGTAGCTCCAAAAATTTTTTTTTGTTGGAGTCTCACTCTGTCGCCCAGGCTAGAGTGTAGTGACACGCTCACGGCCACACCAGCTTCGACCTGCTGGGATCTGGCGATCCTTCCGCCTCAGCTTTCCAAGTAGCCGGATCTACGGGCGCGCACCACCACGGCCACCTAATTTTTATTTATTGTAGAGACGAGGTTTCGCCAAGTTGCCCGGGCTGGTCTCGAACCCGCGGTCTCAGGCAATCCATTCACCTCGGCCTCCCAAAGTGCTGGGATTACAGGCTGAGCCACTGAGTCCGGCCTATCGCCCTTTTAAGAGAACTCTTCAGCTGCCTCACCGAAACTCTCAGGGCGCCCTCCGCCGTGCCTGCGTGTAATGGGTCCTCGGTAAATATATTTCCTAATTATCGCACATTTATTTGGGCTGCCCTATAGATTCGTTCATTTATTCAACAAATAGTTCAATGAGTGACTACCTCATACCACGATTTGTGGCGGGCTTGGATGACATTGTGGTAAACAAAACAAATCTCTCCCCACGTGGAGCTTATATCCTACTAGGGAGAACAAGACAATGAGCACCTAAAATATAGGACACGTTAGAAGATGGTAACTTATATGGAAAAAGAGTAAGCAGAGAGGCCACTGTACAAGAGGCTTTTAAAAAACCCTCTGAGTTGGGAAGCCATTTGAGGGTTTTAAACATGTGTCACTCGATCTGAGTTCCAATTTGACAGTTCACTGTGTTGAGACTGAAGGGAGGCAAAAGCACTAGCAGGAAGGTCAATGAGGAGGTTCTTCTAATGCACCTGGTGAGAGATGATGGTGAGGAGACAGGGGAGATTAGTACTGGAATTCTGAACACATTTGAATTCTAACAGGATTTGCTGGTGAATAAGGAATGAGAGAAAGGAGTAAAGAATTACTCCAAAGGGTTATGAAATAGATGTATATGTCACATTCCAAATCGGATCCTCTTTTTTTTTTTTTGAGTTGGGAGTCTCACTCTGTCATCCAGGCTGGAGTGCAGTGGTATGCTCACAGTCACCCCAACATCAACCTGCTGGGCTCCAGCAATCCTTCCACCTCAATCTCCCAAGTAGCTGGAACTATAGGCACACACCAGCACGCCCAGCTAATTTTTTTATTTATTGTAGAGATGAGGTCTCGTCAAGTTGCCCAGGCTGGTCTCGAACCACTGGACTCAGGCAATTCTCTCGCCTCAGCCTCCCAAAGTGCTGGGATTACAGGCTTGAGCCACCATGCTGGGCGGATCCCCTTAAAGACATCAGGACAGAGCTTGTACCTCGCAGCCCATTACCCCATCCAATTTTCTCTGTCCCAGCAATGTGCTAGAAATTCCACTATTAGAAATTTATTTGTTAAGGTTCTAAGTGTAAGTCCTCCTGGGAGAAATAGTACATCAAGTTTGAGTTTCATTCATTTGTTCATCATTCGTTCTACAAATACTTATTAAGCACAGTGCCTGAAACTTAGGCTACAATAATGAGCATTATTGTCTTGGCTCCTGGTGTCATTGAACTTAACAGTCTAGTGGAAGGAACTGGCATAAACATTACAAATTATGAAGAGAGCTCACAGGAGAAGAAAAAGTGCCACAAGTTCTTGAATAGAAGAAACCTGATCCAACCTGAGAAGTCAGGAAAAATATCACTTGGAGAAGTATCATCTAAGGCATTTTTCAAACTGCAGGTGATTACCCATTAGTAGATCATGATCATAATACTTTTTTAAACAAAATATGATAGAGCCAAAATATCAGAATGTTATCACTCATGGTAAGCATAAATTGTTGTATGAACCCTTGTTTCAGTTTATTTGTATATGTGTGCATATATATTTATATTTATATAAGTGTATATGTGTACTAGGTCATTTTATCAGTCAGTGTTGCCTGGAAGGAAACAGTTGGTGGGGTTGAGCACTTAATAAAGGATCTGTTTACAGAGGTAAAGCAGGAGTGAAACTACAAGGGAGTATGCAGTCTCCAGAGACATAGAAGAAATAGTTATATAAGCCCAGAGAGAGAGTTTGGAGGGAATTTCCTGACATGAGCCATGTCCTTCAATAGAATAACAGAGCCAATCAATAATAATTTGACAGAGAAGGAGCTAGGAACATAAATACCTGATCTCACTCTTCAGTGAATTTCTTTCTGGAATCTCCCATGGATGCTGGGTTCAAGCGATCCTTACACCTTGGCCCTCCAAAGTAGCTGGAACCACAGGTGCATGCCACCATGCCTGGCTAATTTTTAAAAATTTATTGTAGAGAGGAGGTCTCACCAAGTTGCCCAGGCTGGTCTCGAACCCTAGGGTCAGACAATCCTCTTATCTCCCCGTCCCAAAGTGCTAGGATTACAGGCGTGAGCCACTGTGTCCAGTAAAAAATGACACTCTTCTAAGCTGGTACAAGAGGTGAAGAGGTGAGGAAAGAGTGGTTCAAGTTGAAGGAACAGCATGTGCAAAGGCCCTGAGTTGGAAGGAAGCATGATTCTGTAGAAGAACTGAAAGAAGCCCACTGAGGCTGGAGCCAAGAGCAAGGAAAAGGCAGTTCAAGATGGGTATAGAGAGGAATGGAAGAGGCCAGATCATGCAGACCTTATGGTCCAAGTTAAGAATTTTGGTCTTTTGGTGGCTCAGCCTGTAATCCCAGCACTTTGGAAGGCCGAGGCGAGTGACCTGCCTAAGCCTGTGGTTTGAGACCAGCCCGGGGAAATTGGTGAGACCTCGTCTCTACAATAAATCCAAAATTAGCCGGACGTGGTAGCATGCACCTGTAGTTCCGGCTACTTGGAGGGCTGAGGGGGAAGGATGGCCAGAGCCCAGCAGGTCGACGCTGGGATGGCCGTGAGCATGCAACTTCACTCCAGACTAGGTGACAGAGTGAGACTCCAACTCAAAAACAAAAAAAAGAATTTTGGTCTTTATCCTAAGGCAATGGGAAGCCATTGAAAGTTTCTAGGGAGAGACATGGTTAGATTTTTAATTTTAAAACCCCACTCTTGCATTTTAAAAAGATCACTTCCAATTTGGGGGTCTTTAGAGTAGTTCAAGCAAGAAGAACAACTTGGCCCAGCATATTATTGGGAGATATAGAAATGGAAGGTAAAATTCACAGGCCTTGGTGAGGTTTGGGTTAGGAAGAATGCTGATATCCAGATGAAGGAGGTGGCGGAATCACTCCTGCATTTCTAGCATGAGAAATGAGAAGTCAGAACAACAGGAAAGCACTAGATTTTACATAAGCGTAGGCCTGCCTTACCTATGTGAAGCACATTTACCTATGCCCCAAGCCTAAGAAATGGAAAAACAAAACATAAATTCTGCTTAATACCATGCTGCTTCCTCCTAAGACTGTCCCTGCACCAGAACACCTGGCTAGTTTCGAATCACTTTTTCAAGTTTACATACAGATTCTGTTTTATGTTGGATTTTTGCACATAAGAGTTTTGATGTGTGTGACACACTTGTACCGCCTCTCAGAGGCACTTTTTTAGGGACAAAATCATACTGGAAACTTGTCATTCAATATTAACCAAAACTCTCCATAGATGTTCTCATTGTAAATCTCATTAAAGCAGAAAGGATTTGGGTTTACTGAGGAGAGGTAGCATCTTGATAGCAGTGTTAAACTGATTTCCAGGATTAATGATGTTTTTCTAAATGTAATCTCAATTGTTCTTCTAAATCCAGGTGCAACAAATTGTTATCTGGCAGATCAGAGGAATGGAGCGATCTAATTAAGTATTATAGTAATTAGAATAATAGAGAAATAAATCTATTACATAGAAATAACCAATTAAAAATCAGAATATAATAAAACATAATAGAACTATGTTGGACATTTTTTGAGAATTTATCTTTTTTTTGAGCCAGGGTCTCACTGTCACTCATTTGAGAGTGCTCACTGCAGCCTTGACCTCCTGGGGTCAGATGATCCTTCCACCTCAGCAGACCTTTGTGGACAAGAGGACTCACTGTGTTGCCTAGGCTCGTCTCAAACTCCTGAGCTCAGTCTTTCTGCCTCAGCCTCACAAAGTGCTAGAATTACAGGTGTCAGCCACCATGCCTAGCCTTAAGAAGAGGCTTGAAGAGTGCATGTATCTGCAGTTTTGGTAGACCAGTAATTAAGTTGACTACTTAATACACTCGCACCCCATAATGTCAGTGATTCTTTTACCTCTAGGACTGTGCTACTAAGTAAAAAGAGGGGATAAACCACAACTCTTGCAACTCTGTTGCCCAGGCTGGAGTGCAGTAGCACACTCACGGCCACTGCAGCCTTGACCTGCTGGGCTCAAGTAGTCCTTCCACTTCAGCCTCACAAGTAGCTGGAATTACAGGCATGCGCCACCATGCCCGACTAATTTTTTAATTTATAGTAGAGATGAAGTCTCGCCAAGTTGTCCAGGCTGGTCTTGAACCCGTGGGCTCAGGCAGTCCTCTCACCTCGGCCTCCCACAGTGCAGGGATTACAAAGGTAAGCCACTGCATCTGGCCAATAAATTATAAATTTGAACATATTCTTCCATTCTTGAGTTCATTTTGGCACCCTCCATGGTATATTGGTAATTTCACAAAGATGCTGTAACCAAAAATGTGAAGGAAATATTGACATTGGTTTATGAAATCTTGAATAAACTCTACAATAAATCAAAAAATTAGCCCGGCATGGTGGCACAAGCCTGTGGTTCCAGCTATTTGGAAAGCTAAAGCAGAAGGATCACCTGGAGCCTAGCAGGTTGAGGCTGCGGTGGCCGTGGCATCCCACTGCACTCCAGCCTGGGTGAGAGTGAGACTCCGACTCAAAAAAAACCCCACAAAATTTAGGTGAGCGCGGTGGCGCACATCTGTAGTTCCCTGAGGTGGAAGGATCTCCTGAGCCCAGCAGGTTGAACTTGTGGTGGCTGTGAGCATACTACTGTACTCCAGCCTGGGCAACAGAGTGAGACTCCAACACAAAAAGAAAGAAATTACAATTTATTTTGTATATATATTTTGAAATTATGCTATCTGTTAAATGTCTGTGTGAAATTTATCTAATGCTTTGTAACAGATTATCTCCAAAACATAATGACTCAAAATATAAACATTGAAACCGAGGCAACATAGCAAGACCTTGGCTCTACAAAAAAATTAAAAAGTTAGCCTGGCATGGTGGTGTGTGCCTATAGTCTCAGCTGTTTGGAAGGCTGAGGCAGAAGGAGCTCCTGAGCTCAGGAAGTGGAGGCTGTGGTGAGCTGTGAGCGTGCCACTGCACTCCAGCCTGAGCAACAGAGTGAAATCCCAGGTCAAAAAAAAAAAAAAAAAAAAAAAATTAGAAAGGGAAACTTGGTATGGGGCAACATGTGGACATGGCACAGGAACTAAGTGTTATGAGTTTAACTGGTATTTAAACATTGGTCACTGACTTTTTTTTTTCTTAGAGACAGGCTGGAAACTTCAAACCTTCCTCCAGAAGCTTGGCATTCTGAGATGATGGTGTCAGTGAGAGGTGAATCACCTAGTACTGTAGAAGAAGAAAGAACAGATGTAGAAACAGATGTAGAAATCATCCCAGAAATCAGAGAGCCACTGACCCTTGCAGATGTGCTAAGGATCTCTGCGGTTCTGGAGGATACCACAATTCAGCTCTCCATTCTAAACTATATCATGCCAGTTCAGTTTGAAAGAAAACAAAGCACCAGCATGGTATATACTCACTTACTGTTATTTCATTTTGCTTTATTTCCTTCCTCCGTCATTTCTTGTATCTGTGCCATTAAATCTCATTTGGGAAATAGCACTTTTATCTTAGGTAGAAGGCTACAAGAACTGTCTGAGATATTTACTCTTACTTGATGGAGTGAAATTGTCATAGCTCAAGGTACATTACCAGGCAGAATATCCTTTTCCAGTATGTCAACATTATTGAAAAAGACCGGCCGGGCACGTTGGCTCAAGCCTGTAATCCCAGAACTTTGGGAGGCCGAGGCTAGAGGATTGCCTGAGTCCACGGGTTCAAGACCAGCCCAGATAACTTGGTGAGACCTCATCTCTACAATAAGTCAGAAAATTAGCCAGGCGTGGTAGCACACTCCTGTAGTTCCAGCTACTTGGACGGCTGAGGCAGAAGGATCACCTAAGCCTAGCAGGTTGAGGCTGTGGTGGCCGGGAATGTGCCACTGCACTCCAGCCTGGGCGACAGAGTAAGACTCCAACTCAAAAAAAAAAAAAAAGAAAGAAAGAAAAGAAAAGAAAAACACCTGTTGTTAAATCAGTATAAATACATTGTACATACTGAGAAGATCATCAAGTTGCCTTGTATTTCTCAGCTGCTAAGCACTAACTGAACACTAGGTGGGGAGGACTTCAACTTGACGCTCTCAACATTGCTTTAATCTAAAATGACTGTTGGCTTTGATGAATGTGTTGCCACCTGCCTTTCTGAACATCCAGCGATATTGTGTCAGTCATTATATATTCAATAATGTTTTTACTCCTCTGCAAAGCACCACTAAGTTATCAAAATAGTTAGCTTGGTAGTGAGCAAAATCTTTATAAATTTTTAAGCGTTTATACATTTCAACAACTTAGGCTATATATATAAAATGGAAATAATTTATACATATAAATACATATTTATGAAGTTCATGAAGTTTAGAAAAATTACATTACTTAATTCTGTGCAAAATATAATATTTCTGAGTCTATGAAAAAGGAGTCAGAAATAAATACAAATGAGAGGGTAAATTGTTTTTCAAGTCTAACAGAAAATAAATCTGTATTTACTGAAGGAAGAAAATCAAATTTCCCCTAAACTTCCATTAGAGTTTTTAAATTTATTTTTGCTATTTTAAGTATAGTCTGAATTCTTTTTTTTTTTTTGAGTTGGAGTCTCACTCTGGCACCCAGACTGGAGTGCAGTGGCCGCTCCCGGCCATCGCAGCCTTAACTTGCGGGGCTCTGGCGATCCTTCCACCTCAGCCTTCCAAGTAGATGGAACTACAGGCGCGCGCTACCCCGCCTGGCTAATTTTTGATTTATTGTAGAGATGAGATCTCACCAAGTTGTCCAGGCGGGTCTTGAACCTGCGGGCTCAGGCAATCCACTCACCTGGGCCTCCCAAAGCGCTGGGATTACAGGCTGAGCCACCAAGCCCGGCCTAGCCTGAATTCTTAAGGCCTTTTTTTTTTTTTTTTTTGAGTCGGTATCTCACTCTGTCACCCAGGCTGGAGTGCAGTTGCACGCTCACGGCCACCACAACCTCGAACTGCTGGACTCAGGCAATCTTTCCACCTCAGCCTTCCAAGCAGCTGGAACTACAGGTGTGTGCAACCACACCCAAATAATTTTTTGATTGATTATAGAGGTGAGGTCTTGACAAGTTGCCCAGGCTGGCCTCAAACCTGCGGGCTCAGGCAATCCTTTGACCTTGGCTTCCCCAAGTGTTGGGATTATAGGTCAATTGGTGAGACCTCGTCTCTACAATCAATCAATCAATCAATCAATCAATGAATAGCCTGATATGGTAGCTACTTGGAAGGCTGAGGTGGAAGAATCACCTGAGCCCAGGAGGTCGAAGATGCAGTAGCCATGAGTGTGCCACTGCACTCCAGCCACTGCGACAGTGAGACACCGACTTAAAAAAAAAAAGTTTATGTAAGAGTTTAATAGAACACTGGATTTGGGTTCAGGAGATCTTTGGGGTTGAGTTGGCAATTTACTTCACTTTTTACCTGAGTGACCCATAGATATCCTCCAATGTTAACATTCTATGATTTTGGGGGTGATTTAAAAATGACAAAGTAGTCATGTATGGTGGCTCACACCTGTAATCCCGTTACTTTGTTTAGTTTTGGTTTTTGAGTCAGAGTCTCACTCTGTCTCGCAGGCTGGACTGCAGTGGCACATTCACGGCCACTGTAGCCTCGACCTGCTGGACTCAGGTGATCCTTCCGCCTCAGTCTTCCAAGTAGCTAGAACGACCGGCATGCGCTACCATGCCAAGCTCATTTTTTTTTATTGTAGAGACAGGGTCTTGCCAAGTAGCTCACGATGGCGTCAAACCCTTGGGCTCAGGCAATCCTCTCGCTTCTACCTCCCAAAGTGCTGGGATTACAGGCATGATCCATTGTACCTGGCCTAACTCAGCATTTTGGGAAGTGGAGGCTAGAGGATTGCCTGAGCCCAGAAATTCGAGACCAGCCTAGGCAACTTGATGAGACCTCGTGTCTACAATAAATAAAAAAATTAGCTGGGCATGGTGGCGCATGCCTGTGGTTTCAGCTATTTGGAAGGCTGAGGTGGAAGAATCACCTGAGCCCAGTAAGTAGAGGCTACGGTGGCCATGAGTCTGTCACTGCCCTCCAGACTGGCTGACAGAGTGACACTCCTACTCAAAAAATAAATAAGTAAAATAAAGTGACATGAGTATTACAGGAATTTTTAAATGTAAGTTAACTTATTTATCAACATATGAAGGACAAATAGATTAGAATCCAAGAACTGAATCTTTCAATGCATTTAAGATATGAGTCTAATCTTCAATTAAGGTAGCTAACAAATAGTACAGAAAAGACTAGTGTTTACTTCCTATTTAGCATTCTTCAGTAAGAATCAAAAATAAAGTAATACTTTGGGAGGCCAAAGCAGAAAGAATATTTGAGGCCAGGAGTTTGAGACCAGGCTGGGCAACATTTAGCGAGACTTTTGTCTCTACACACATACACAAAAATTATTGGTGCATAGTGGCACCACTTGTAGTCCTTCCTTGATATGCTGAGGCTGAGGTTATTTTATTTTATTTTATTTTATTTTATTTCATTTCATTTCATTTTGAGTTGGAGTCTCACTCTGTCTCCCAGACTGGACCGGGAGCGGCCACTGCAGCCTCGACCTGCTGGGCTCCGGCGATCCTTCTGCCTCAGCCTTCCAAGTAACTGGAACTACAGGCGCGCACTACTACGCCCGGCTAATTTTTTTATTTATCGTAGAGATGAGGTCTCGTCAAGTTGCCCAGGCAGGTCTCAAACCCGCGGGCTCAGGCAATCCACTCACCTCAGCCTCCCAAGGTGCGGGATTACAGACTGAGCCACCGAGCCCGGCTAGGATAAATATTTTAAAACCTTAGTATGTATATAGATGTTTTCTTTCCCCCAAAAGATTGACATTGTTCAGCTTATAACAACTTTGTGAGGAAAGCTTAGCATTATTCCTCTATTATAGCCATTCTTACATCTAAGGCCATCTCCAGATAGATTTGCATTTATTAGAATTATGAAATGGAAAGATGAAAAATAAATGTACCAGGGAATGATTTGACCAAAGTTTGGAAAGAACTTCCTTACAGGGAATACTGTTTTTCTTATCTTTTCCCTTAGGGTCTAATACCCTATCTTGTACATAGTGTGTGCTATAAAGATATTTTTTAGTGAATAGAACATTTGGCTAGTTTCTTTAGTTTCTTTAGTTCTCTTTTTAAAAGATAATCACACTTCTTTCTGGTAATCAGTAAATCAGGCCATATGACACATTTACTTTCTTTTCTGAATGCCCAAGTATAAAAGTAGAGAAATAATGGTTATGGAGATCAGAAAATGGAGCCTCCTAGATCTTACGTTTTCTCCTTAACTCCGTAGACAAAAGCTAAAATAATAAATATCCATTTTACCAATGGAAAAATGGAGATGTGCAGGTATTCAATAGTGGCCTAAGATCAATACAGTTTAGTAAGAGATAGAGCCAGATTCAAACATGGCTTCAGAATTCATATGTGTAGTCACTATATGACGTGACCTCTCAATGGCTCAAGTTTTTAGCCACAGTTTAAATAGGAATCATCAATTAAAAGACATATGCTGCTCCTGTGATACCTTAGTGTTCAATTTTAGGTTTGAAAAAGAAATTATTTTGGCTTTTCCCTACATGGCCTTCAAAATCTATGCCACACCACTATACACACTACTATCAACTGCTGCTTTTAGTATGATTCCCCTGTTGTTATTTATGTTTCAAATTTATATATTCAATGAACTTTTTTACAACATTTTTTGTAAAGGCAGGGAGGATCTTGCTATGTTACCCAGGATGGTCTCGAACTCATGGGCTCAAATGATGCCCCCCTTTGCCTCCCAAACTGCTGGGATTACAGGAATGAGCCACTGTGCTCAGCTCAATTAACATTTGAGTCTCTACTATATCCTAGGCGTTGTTCTAAGCAATGGGACTATAAACATGGCCACATTTATTTAAAATCCAGTCTTGTTCCTAAAATAATTTGAGACTAGCCTTAAAATTTTTTTCTTTTTCTTTTTTTTATTTTTGTGTTGGAGTCTCACTCTGTCACCCAGGCTGTAGGGCAGTGGCATGCTCCCAGTCACCACAGCCTCAACCTGCTGGGCGCAGGCAATCCTTCCACCTCAGCCTTCCAATTAGCTGGAACTATAGGCACATGCCACCATACCCAGCTAATTTCTTTATTTTTTTGTAGAGATGAGGTCTCACCAACTTGCCAGGGAAGGTCTCGAACCCGTAGGCTCAGGTAATCCTCTCACCTCGGCCTCCCAAAGTGCTGGGATTATAGGTGTGAGCCACCGCTCCTGGTCAAAATTTTTTTCTTTTAAGTGAACCAAGAGTCTCTAAGACACTGTTGCCTCTCTCTTAGAACCCATAATCTGATGGAGATACTTTTCAAATAATTACAATATGGTAAATGCCTGCTAACAGAGCTATTTCTTTTCTTTTCTTTTTTAATTGGAGTCTCACTCTGTCACCCAGGTTGGAATGCAGTGGCACGCTCACAGTCTTTGCAGCCTCCACCTGCTGGGCTCAGGCGATCCTTCTGCCTCAGCCTTCCAAGTAACTGGAACGACAGCAACATGCTACCATGCCTGGCTAAGCTTTTATTTATTTATTGTAGAGATGAGGTCTTGCCAAGTTGCCCAGGTTGGTCTCAAGTCCCTGAGCTCAGGCAATACTTTCACCTCGGCCTCCCAAAGTGCAGGAATTACAGGCTTGAGCCACCACACCTAACCCTAGAGAGAGCCGTTTCACAAAGAATGTTATCTTTGACCAGTGTCCCAGGTGGTAAGTTGGACAATGACAGTGAGGGAATGTTGTAGGAAGGTAGTGCAGGTGTGTTCTGGTGTGGCTGAAGAAAAAGGCACGTTTTCTTGGAGTGTAGACTGTAAGTTAGAGAAGATGAGGATGAAAAAATGTAAACAGAGCCCTCTTATAGGATTGTCTCTTAACAAATCTTTTAAAACATCAATTTATTGTTTTTAAAAGAAAAGCAAAGAAATGAGTTCGGGAGGAAAAAGCCTAGACAAACTTCCGATGGCCTCTAGTCCACTGTCACCTCAAGAAGGACCCAAGTTGCCAGAAATCAGACAAGGAAGTCAATTTACTGTGGATTTTAACAAAATGCAGGATTTTGTCTTCAAAAAACCTACAAGGCAGACCATAATGACTACGGAGACACTGAAGAAAATTCAGATGGATAGGTAAGGAAGGAGCATATTTGACAATATAGTAGCTGGGCTCGGTGGCTCAGCCTGTAATCCCGCGCCTTGGGAGGCAGAGGTGATTGGATTTCCTGAGCCTGCGGGTTCAAGACCTGCCTGGGCAACTTGGTGAGACCTCATCTCTACAATAAATCAAAATGAGCCGGGCGTGGTAGCGCGCGCCTGTAGTTCCAGCTACTTGGAAGGCTGAGGCGGAAGGATTGCCGGAGCGCAGCAGGTCGAGGCTGCGGTGGCCGGGAGCAGCCACTGCACTCCAGTCTGGGTGACAGAGTGAGACTCCAACTCAAAAAAAAAGACAATGTAGCAATGTACTTACATATAGGTGAGAGAATGGGCACAAGAACAGCTGACTGCTAGCTTCTCTTTTGGGATAGTCATTACTGTACATCCAGAATGACTGTGGAGAACAAGATTAGCTAAAGACAGCCTCCAGGCAGTGTGCTACAATTGAAAGCCTGAAGGCTGGGTGCAAAAATTATTAAGCCTTTTGCTTTCAATTTTTATTTGATTTATTTTTTATTGTCTTTTTTCCCCTTCAGATTCACACCTGCAGGCAATTTATTTATTTATTTGCGTTGTAGTCTCACTCTGTCACCCAGGCTGGAATGCAGTAGCGCACTCATAGCTACCACAGCCTTGGCCTACTGGGCTCAGGCAATCCTTCTGCCAGCCTTCTAAGTAGCTGGAACTACAGGCAAGTGCCACCTCACCAGGCTAATATTTTGATTTATTGTAGAGACGAGATCTCACCAAGTTGCCCAGGCTGGTCTCGAACCCCCGGGCTCAGGTAATCCTCTCACCTTGGCCTCCCAAAGTGCTGGGATTATAGGCATGAGCCACCATGCCTATGGAGTTCTAAAATGTGTTTTAATCCTGAGAATTTTTTAAAGGCAACTCATTTCCATTGTGTCATTATTCAGTTTTTTGTTGTCAACTGACTAGCAAAGAAGCCTGTTACATTTCAAAAAGAAAGTTATGGTAAGGATTTTTGGTTAATGAGAGTTTACAGCAATTACCCAAGGTTGCTAGCTAAATCCACTATGAAGTCTGTTTTTGAAAAGTTTTATTGGAATACAGTATTGCCCATTTGTTTACACATTGTCTATGACTGCTTTCATACTATAATGGCAGAGTTAAGTAGTTGCAAAAGGGAACTTATTGCCTGCAAAACCAAAAATGTTTATTATTTGCCCATTTGCAGAAAAAGTTTGCTGACCCCTGTGTTAGACCCTAATTGGTTAGGGTAATTACCCTTGGGGGTAAGGTCTCTTGCTAGTCAGTCTGGTCCAGATTTACTTGTGTGACAGAAAGTTGTCTGGTTTATAAACTGCCTAATCTAGTTAGGGTAATTCTTAGTGTGATGGCTTATTTTTAGGGCTAAGTCTTAGATTCATATTCCTATGAGACCCAGGCATGATCCCAGGGTGATATATAATCATGAAATGTACATATCTGCCGGTTTTCCAGAATCAAAGTGAAAATAAAACTATCAAAGGCATAAAAGCTACAAATTTAAAAAAATTTTTTTCCTTTCTTTTTGAGTTGGAGTCTCACTCTGTTGCCCAGACTGGAGTGCAGTGGCCACTCCCTGCCACTGCAACCTCGACCTGCTGGGCTCCGCGGTCCTTCTGCCTCAGCCTTCCAAGTAGCTGGAACTACAGGCACGCGCTACCATGCCCAGCTAATTTTTTTTTTTTAATTTATTGTAGAGATGAGGTCTCACCAAGTTGCCCAGGCGGGTCTCGAACCCGCAGGCTCAGGCAATCCACTCACCTCAGCCTCCCAAAGGCACAGGATTACAGGCTGAGTCACCGAGCCCATCTAAATTTTTAAATTTAAAATGGGAATTTGTAGAAAGTTTGTGTATGCTTTCCTTGCTCTAGTCATCTTTATGCATTATAATCTTATTGCATTTATTCCAAATTTTTTATTATTTTATTATGACATATCACTGTCAAATGACAAAATTACAGCAAATTTAGTTTAAAGATCTGAATTGGCTTGTATTTTCAATTTTAGAATCAAGCAACACACCATTCTAAGAGATAGAAGGACTGTTCTGTTAAGCAGAGCAGAGAGTGGGAGTTTGGCTTTATGGGCAGAAAAAAGTTAAAGAAAGCAGAAACAGGGAATAATAAGTGAATTGGTCGTCTTTTTTTTTTTTGGAGTCAGAGTCTATCAGTCAGGCTGGAGTGCAGTGGCACGCTATGGCTACCACAGCCCTGGCACCTGCTGGGCTTGTGCGATCCTTCTGCCTCTACCTTCCAAGTAACTGGAACTACAGGTGCATGCCACCATGTCCAGCTAATTTTTTTATTTATTAGGTATCACCATGTTGCCCAGGCTGGTCTCCAACCTATGGACTCAGGCAATCCTTTCTCCTCTGCCTCTCAAAGTTCTAGGATTACAGGCATGAGCCTCCACACCCAGCCAGTTTTATTGTCTTAAAGTTACTTCCCTTGTAAAGATGAAAGCAGAGAGGACTTACTTATCACACTGGCTAAAGCTTGTCTGTGTGGGAATTTGGCTATTATTTCTCTCTCTCCCGATTTTTTGGAAGATTATACAAACAACTTAGTTTGGGCTTATTGGTGTGGAACTTCAGCATGAGTCACTACTTGATTTAGTCTGTAGGGCCTAGTGCAGCAGGTCAGTCCAAACCAAGTGCTTTGTATTGATTTTCTTTAACGTGACACACGAGATGAGTTCTTTTTGTTCAAATTCTTATGTTTCAGTTTCTTGATGTTAGTATACTTAGCCTTTTCTCTCAACATAGTTATTGAATCTTTTTGTGTGGACTATTGTTAGTAATTGTTATATGAGTTGGGCGCAGTGGCTCAAGCCTGTAATCCCAGCACTTTGGGAGGCTGAGGTGAGTGGACTGTCTGAGCCCACGGGTTTGAGACCAGCCAGGGCAACTTCTTGAGACCTCATCTCTACAACAAATAAAAAAAAAATTTGCCGAGTGTAGTAGCCCGCAATACTTGAGAGGCTGAAGCTGAGCCCAGCAAGTTGACGCTGGGGTGGCCCTGAGTGTGCCACTGCATTCCAGCCTGGGCGGCAGAGTGAGACTCCAACTCAATAATAACAATAATAGTAATAATAATAATAATTCTTGCCAACTCTATATAAAAGCATTAAATAGCAGTTTTAAAAAATATTTCACTTAGATACTGGGCACAGTGGCTCATGCCTGTAATCCCAGCACTTTGGGAGGCTGAGGCAAGAGGATTGTTTGAGCCCAAGAGTTCGACACCAGCCTGGGCAACTTGGCGAGACCTGGTCTCTACAATAAATCAAAAAATTAGGGCAACCCCTTTGGGTCCCCTCCCACTGTAGGAGTTTTTCTGTCCTCTCAATAAATCCTGCTTTAAAAAAAATCAGCAGGATGTGGTGGTGCATGCCTATAGTTCCAGCTACTTAGAAGGCTGAGATGGAAGTATTGCCTGAGCCTAGCAGGTCAAGGCTGCGGTGGCCATGAGCATGCTACTGCACTCCAGCCTGGGTGACAGAGTAAGACTCTGACTCAAAAAAATAAAAAATAAAATAAAATAAAATATTACACTTAGCATAATATTATAAAGAACAATGAACTAGGAGTTAGGAAACCTGGATTATATATTTCCAGCTCTTTCTGAAATTAGTTTTGTGACCTTGGGCATGTCACTTAGCCTTCCTGAGCCTGGATCTACTCACTTCTAAAATGTGAGGGTTTGATTATCTCTTAAAAATTTATTTCTAATGAATTAACTTTTTAAAAATAATGAAATATTTCAAAAATCAGAAAAGTGTAAAGAATAAAAGAACATGGCTAGGCGCGGTGGCTCAAGCCTATAATCCCAGCACTTTGGGAGGCTGAGGTGAACAGATTGCCTGAGCCCACAGGTTCGAGAACAGCCTGGGCAACTTGGTGGTACCTCATCTCTACAATAAATTAAAAATTAGTCAGGTGTAGTAGTGCGTGCCTGTAGTTCCAGCTACTTGGAAGGCTGAGGTGGAAGGATCACCTGAGCCCAGTGGGTCAACAGTGGGGTGGCCGTGAATGTGCCACTGCACACCAGCCTGGGCAACGAAGTGAGACTGCAACTCAAAAAAAAAAAAAAAAAGAGAGTACAAAAGAATAAATACTTTATGTATGTAACACCAAATTTTAATATTTTACCATGGTTGTCTTAGAGATATATTTTTTAAAGGGATTAAAATATCTCAGATGTAATTGAAGCCTCTAATCTCAGTCCCTTCAATCTTACTCCAAAGATAAACACTCTTCTGAATTTGGTGTTTATTATTCTCTAGCTTGCTGTAACACTTTTATTATGTATTTGTATTTTATTTAAATGGCACATGTGCTTGTTTTTAAATGTTACATATATGGTATCATATTGTACATTCAATATTTGTTGGTCTTTGGAATGTAAACTTTTTCAGATTAAGGAAGTTCTCTTATCTCTAGTTTGCTGAGAGTTTTTTTATTATTTATTTTTAAATGATGAGTGGATATTGAATTTTGCCAAATGTTTTTTCTGCATCTATTTTTTTTTTTTTTTTTGAGTCAGAGTCTTACTCTGTCACCCTTGCTGGAGTGTAGTGGCACATTCACAGCCACTGTTGTCACTACCTGACGGATTCAGGTGATCCTTCCGCCTCAGCCTTACAAGTAGCTGGAACCACAGGCATGTGCCACCACACTGGGCTAATTTTTGATTTATTGTAGAGACGAGGTCTTACCAAGTTGCCCAGGCTGGTGTCAAACCCGTAGGCTCAATCAGACAATCCTTCCGCCTCAGCCTTCCAAGTAACTGGAACTACAGGCACAAGCTACCATGCCCAGCTAATTTGTTGATTTATTGTAGAAATGGGGTCTTGCTATGTTGCCCTGGCTGATCTCAAACCCCCAGGCTCAGGCAATTGCTTGCCGCTACCTCTCAAAGTGCTAGGATTACTGGCATGAGCCACTACACCTGGCTACTATACTATTTTTTGTACTCCTGGGATAGTTCCAATTTAGTTATGTTGTTTCTTCAGGGTCTTAACTTGTGTAACTTCTGTAGCCCTTTGTGAATGTAGGAAGATATACTTTTTCTTTTTTCTTTTTGAGATGAGGTCTCACTATGTTACCCAGGCTGGTCTTGAACTCCTGGGCTCAAGCAACTCTCCCACTTCAACCTCTGGAGTTGTGGGATTACAGGCGTGAGCCACTGTACCTGGTCTGAAAATATGTTTTATTAACTCATCTCTTGTTTCTCCTTACAGGCAATTTTTCAGTGATGTGATTACAGATACCATTCAGGAGTTGCAAGATTCAGGCACTTTCACCAATCTCCTGCAAGCTTTGAGTACGGAGAGGGAAAACAAAATGCATTTCTATGATGTCATTGTCAGGTTAGAGTAATGCTAGGTTTATTGCTTTGCTGTATTTTAAAGTGCTATAAAACTCTTACTGGAGATTCTTGATTTCTAAGGCAAACTGAACTTCTGAACTAGAAGTCAGAATTTGGGTTCTATTCCTGTCTCTGCTGGGACAATAACTCAGATTTCTGGGCCTTAGTTATCTGTATCTATGATGTATCAAGAAATTCTTCCTTCTATGGTAGTAAGACTAAGTTTACTGTTACTGTTACTGTTATTTGTTACTTGAACAGTAACAAATGAATGCCAAGGAATTTTTTTCTTTTCCAGAACTTTTCAATTTATTCTAAAGATTTTCTTGCTTCAGGAATATTTAACACAATCAAAATGCCTTGGGACCAAGATAAAATTCTCTTTAAATGAAACCATATATACTCAGAATGAGAACATGGTCATCTTGTCTTTATATGTGTGTAATTGTTTTTCCTTGAATTTTTTTTCTCCTGCCCTTCTCAGTATTTGTAATAAATTCTGTACTAGAATTATTATGAATATTAATTAATGCAATTGAAGCACTTAGGAGAGTCCCTGGCACATAGTAAGTGCCTGATAACAATAATGAATTTACCATGTATTGCTGGCAAGAAAGCAAGGAAGTGAGCACTTGTTACATTGCTGGTGGGAGAATGAATTGGAACAACTTTCTGAAAAGTTATTTATCTGTGAAAATAAAAATGTAGGCTGGGCTCGGTGGCTCAGCCTGTAATTCCAGCACTTTGGGGGGCCTGAGGCTAGGAGATTGCCTGAGCCAGGCACCTTGGCAAGACCTTTTCTCTACAATAAAATAAAAAAATTAGCCGGGCGTGGTAAACACACCTGTAGTTCTGGCTACTTGGAAGGCTGAGGCGGAAGGATCACTAGAGTCTAGCAGGTCAACATTGGGGTGGCTGTGAGTGTGCCACTGCACTCCAGCCTGAGTAACAGAGTAAGATTCTAACCCCCCCAAAAAGAAAAGAAAAATACATATACTTAACTTTGATCTTAATTTTATAATATTATGTATTATTCTGTAATTTATTGAACCATTCCTTGAGTTTGAGTATTGAGGTCGTTACCAAATTTTTGCTATAACAAATAATGCTTCAGCATATATCTTTACACTTAAACATATATCAGCAATGTCTGAATCTGTTATTATCCCATGAGGTTGAATAATTACACATGGAATTACAGATTCAAAAACATAGTCTATAGTTTAGTGGGTGATATATGAAGCTACTGTATTATTTACAAAGTTTAAAATATGGGGAAAATGTTTATACCACATTTTTAAGTAGAAAAAAGACGGCTGGAAATAATACAATATTATCACATGTATATAATACAACCAACAAAAAGATGTATAGAAAAAGAACTGGAGCCAGATGCAGTGTCTCATGCAGTAATTCCAGCACGTTGGGAGGCAGAAGCAAGCTGAGCCCAGGGTTTCAAGACCAGCCTGGGCAACTTGGCGAGACCTTGTCTCTAAAATAAATTTAAAAATTAGCTGGGCGTGGTGGCATGTGCCTGTAGTTCCAGCTACTTGGAAGGCTGAGGTGGAAGGATTGCCTCAGCTCAGCAGGTTGAGGCTGCTGTGGTCGTGAGTGTGCCACTGCACTTCAGCCTGGGCGACAGAGACTCTGACTAAAAAAAAAAAAGGAATGATATGGAAGGCTATGTATCAAAAAGTTAACATTGGTAACCTCATAAGAGTGAAATCAGAGGAGAAAAGAGAGGTGGCAGATCACCCACTTTTTTCTTGTACATTCCTATTCTGTTTTGAAATATAATATACATTTATTATTTCATAATTTCAAAAATTTGATTAAATGTGAAAAAGTAAAAAGAAATGTATATATTCCACAGAAGGGAGAAAATGGTTTAATATTGATCAACTAAACAGTTTGCCAGTGATAGATGTATATATATATATATATGATTATTATAATTTTGTCTTTTAATTTTTTTCCAATTAGATTGGCATCAGTTGGGATTTATTTAAATTAGAAAATTTTATCTATATTTCGGCAAATGGTGTTTTGTATTTTAAGTATTGTATGATTGATACTTTTATTTTATTTTTTTGTGTCTCACTCTGTTGCCCAGGCTGGAGTGCAGTGGCACGCTCACGGTCACTGCAGCCTCAACCTGCTGGGTTCAGGTGACCCTTCCACCTCGGCCTACCAAGTAGCTGGAACCATAGGCACATGCCACCATGCGCAGCCTATTATCTGATTTGCTGTAGAGATGAGGTCTTGTCAAGTTGCCCAGGCTGGTCTAGAATCCATGGGCTCAGCCTCTCCTCTCAGCCTCCCAAAGTGCTGGGATTATAGGCATGAGCCACTGTGCCTGGCCAACTGATACTTTTAACGTCGTAGAATTTAGTGATGGGTATAAGACAGACAGGATTTTCTATTTTTTAATTTGAGTCAGAATCTCACTCTGTTACCCAGGCTGGAATGCAGCAGCATGATCACGGTTCATTACAGTCTCAACCTTCTGGGCTCAGGCAATCCTTCTACTGGGACAACAGGTGCACACTGCCACACTCAGCTGGTATAATTTTTTGATTTTTTGTACAGATGAGGTCTTAGTATATTGCTCAGGCTGGTCTCGAACTCCTGGGTTCAAGCAATCCTCCCACCGCAGCCTCCTAAAATGCTGGGATTAAATCACCATGCCTAGGTTGGAATCTGTTTTTTAATGTGTGGGTGATCCTTATACACCCTAAGGTTTGAGAGGCACTGCTCTAAACACAAATCATTCTTATTTCTTCTAGCGAGGAAAAAGGAAGAAAAAAGATAAAGTCTCTTCAAAAACAGCTAGTTAATGTCAAAAAAGAGTGGCAGCTTGAAGTACAGGTAAGAATTACCTGGGTAATTACTAAAAGTTGCTTAACTAAGACAATTATATAAAAACCATCTTTTTCAAGCAAAGAAAAGTTACATATGAAAGATTGCTATTTCCCCTGGAGCTCATTTACTATTGAAAATGTGAAGAGTGTAACTAGGGAGCTGACCCGAGTTGTGCTCTGGGAGACCTCAAGACTCTGGAGCTCTGAGTCTGTTCTTACCCTCACATCCCTCCCCAAGTGCATCACCCACTCCTTCCATACAGGAGACCACATTTCAGGCAGTCTCTTGTATTCTGACATCCCAATTGGGAAAGTATGTTCCTACAGGAGACATTAAGCACATTACAAACCTTCTTATACCTGATGGTTAGTCTTAATGATGTCATTTGTATTGTATTTCAAGCACAAAGTGGATTGAAGGAGCTACTGTGGTCATTAGGACCTAAACTTATATCTAACTTATTTCTGTAAGAAAATGCATCCCAAGTTCAAAGGAATTTATTTGAAAGACAAAGTTTGGGCTCCAACCTAAATAGTTAGAAACTAGCTCTATTAGAATGACAAACAATCTTTCTGTCAGCAGTTTAGAAAGTTACAAAGTATGACCTATTATCAATTTTACATTGACTAGTTTATGCTTCAGAGCAGGAAATTGTCATTATTCTCCACACAGACACTGGAAGAATGTCTTATTGATGTATTATTTTAGAGACAAAGTCTCACTCTGTCACCCAGGCTACAGTACATTGGCATGGTCATAACTTCACTGTAGGCTCAGCCTCCTCAGTGGTTAGAACTGTAAATGCTTTCCACTATGCTTGGCTGAGGTATTTTTTACCCCCCTGTCTTTTTTTTTTTTTTTTTTTTTTTTTGTGGAGATAAGATCTCACTATGTTGCCAAGGTTGGTCGCAAACTCCTGGCCTCAAGTGATGCTCTAGCCTTGGCCTCCCAAAGTGCTGGGATTACAAGTGTGAGCCATCACACCCAGACTGGAGAATATTTTAAAAATATATTTGGAAAAATTGTCTAAAAAAGATCTCTATACCTCATCTCTACAATAAATCAAAAAATCAGCCGGGCGTGGTAGCGCATGCCTGTAATTCCGGCTACTTGGAGGCTGAGGCAGAAGGATCGCTGGAGCCCAGCAGGTCGAGGCTGCGGTGACCGGGAGCGGCCACTGCACTCCAGTCTGGGCAACAGAGTGAGACTCCAACTCAAAAAAAATAAAAAAGGTCTCTATAAGGTGAGAGAATTGTGTTTGAGACTAGCCTGGACAACAAAGTGAGACCCCTGTCTCTACAAATAAATTTAAAAAATAATTTTTTAAAAAGCAAAAAATAGCTGAGTGTGGTGGCTCATGCCTGTAATTCCAGCACTTTGGGAGGTAGAGCTGAGAGGATTTCCTGAGCCCAGGGGTTGGAGACCAGCCTGGGCAACTTGGCGAGACCTCATTTCTACAATAAATCAAAAAATTAGCTGGGCATGGTGGTGCATGCTTGTAGATCTAGGTACTTGGAAGGTTGAGGTAAGGATTACCTGAGCCCAGCAGGTCGAGGCTGCGGTGGCCGTGAGCATGTCACTGTCCTCAAGCCTGGACAACAGAGTGAGACCCCCACTCAAAAAAAAAGGAAGAAAATTAGAAAATACTTAAGTGGAGGGATATGGTATGTTTATGGATTGGAAGATTCAGTATTATAAAAATATAAATTCGTCCAAAATTAATCTATGAATTGAATTCAATCTCAATCAGAATCCTGATTAAATTTTATTTCTTTCTTTTTGAGAAGTTACACAACCTGATTCTAAAATTTATATAGGAATTCCAAGGGCTAAAAATAGTCAAGACAATATTGAAGAAGAATAAGGTGGAAGGACTTGCTTACATTTTTAGGATTATTAGAAAACTGTCAAAACAATGTACATTGGTGCACAGATTGATAAATAGAACAATGGAACAGAATATGAAGAGAACCCTAGCAGATTTGTGACAAAGATGGTATTACAGTACAGTGGTGGAAAGTGATTTTAATAAATGATGCTGAAGAAATTGAATACCTATATGAAAAATCAAATTTCACTATGAACTGATGACATACACAAAAATCAATTTCGTATGAGTATAAATCTAAATGTCAGAGGCTAAAGCATAAGCTTTCTAGATAACATAGGAGAGACTATCATCTTGACCTTGAGTAATGAATGATTTCTTACGCAGGCCACAAATGGTACAAATTACAAAGGAAAAGATTGATAAATTTGATAACCTCAAAATTAAAAACTAATGTTCATCAAAAGACACAATTAAGCCAAGTGTGGTGGCTTGCGCTTGTAATCCCAGCACTTTGGGAGGCAAGAGGATTGCCTGAGCCCATGGGTTCAAGACCAACCTGGGTAACTTGGTGAGACCTTGTCTCTACAATAAATTTTAAAAAAAAATTATCTGGGTGTGGTGGCCCATGCCTGTGGTTCCAGCTACTTGGAAGCCTGAGGTGGAAGGATCACCTGAACCCAGCAGGTCAAGGCTGCAGTGGCCGTGAGTGTGCC